TTCGCAGCGCATTCCATCATCAGCTTATTGAATTCGGTGATTTGTGCCATGAACGTTTCATGATGCACATTCTCAACTAGCCCTTTCTTCTCATTGGATGCTGATAGTATCCCAACGAAATTCGACTAAATCGATAACCCAACATTCGGAGTGTCAAATTTCCGATCAAATTTCAAAATTTGACAGAAATTCGTCGGATTTTTACAATCGAATTTCGGTCGGTTACCATCACGAATCATTCAAGCCGTTCACACGCAGTAATCATGGTTCTTTACATGTCATGACAGCATGTGAACGAAACCTCTGTTCGGTCTGAATCCGATCGAGTGGGCTTTTCGTCATTGTGAAATTCAGAATTGTTCCACACTTTTGGGCTGTTAATTGAATCTAGGTACAATATGATGTATGCATATGAATAATTCGAACAATATGAAATTATGCTTAATAAATGTTGACTTTCGACTCCAAATCCACCGAGGTGGATGTTGATAAAGATGGGAAATGATTCTTAGTTCACTTCAGACGTCGACACACCGTGACAATGCTTGCATGAGTAGGAAAAAAGACAATGAACCTCCTGTCAATAACTATCCAATAATTGCTGAAGATAAGATTAAAATCGTCGAGCTATTGGGTGCCGGAGGTTATGGAGCCGTTTTTCGTGCACAGTGGACGACAGAAAAAAAAGTGATGTGGGTCGCGGTGAAAAAAGTTGGTGAGGTTGAGAAAGAGGTTCGCATTCCTTCAAGACTCATGAATTGAATCATAGTTTATTTTTATTATTTCCAGTTTACGTTTATTGAGGCTGTTGAATGCTTCATAAGTTCGTGACGTCTTCTCCAAATGGATTTCACCGCATCATTATAAGTTATTTCAGGCGTACCTTTTATCAAGAATTCGTCATCGCAATATTGTTGAGTTTTATGGTATTTCAAAGACGGATCTTGATTTCCTTATTGTCACAGGTTAGCTAAAAATTTCGAAGTATGAACTACACATCTGAGAGTCGTTTTCTGTTTATTTCTGGTAAACAACAAAATGATACGCGATGAAACATCGTAAAAAAACATGGTCAAGAGTGGCCAGCCGATTTCGTATTCGTTGAAATGAGAATATTTGTGCAAAAAATAGATTTTTAATCTTATTGAAGTGAAGTTCTGGTACATCGAACAATAAGGTTTGATTCGAATGAAACTTCATTCTTGATGCTTCAATATTTCAAATTATCGATTCTCACTAGCGATTGTTCNTAAACTTTGGCAGAACAGCTCGGAGATATTATCAAGATTAGCTTTCAGAATTCGCTGAAGGCGGTTCATTGTTCAATTATCTCCATAATTCGGAGATTCGTGATATCGATTTGAATCAAATTATCAATTGGGCCCTGCAGGTTAGGAAAGCTCTCTTCTTGAGTTCTTAAAATCCTCTTTTTTTGGACCTTCATTTGCATTCACTTTCTTGGGATCTCACAGCTGAATCCTCATTGATCACGAAAATTAGAGGATATGATACAAGATGTATGTGAAAAGTTGATGGATCCACTGAAGTCGAAA